CCTCGGGCACCACCGTCTCCCATGTGTCTGACATCGTGGGCCCGGTGAGTGGGCCATCGACGGGTTGGGTGGGGAGCAAGGGCTGGTGGGGAGGTAGGTGGGAGAGAAAGGCCACACACACCCCCCACATCCTGCTGGCCTGCAACCATATGGCCTGGCTGCTTCCCTGAACTGTGACTTAGGTCAGGCCCTGGGACTCAGAGGCATTCCTTGAACCAGAGAGTCAGCTTCACTCCTGGGTACTTGGCCTTACAGTAGGAGGCACAGAGTAACCAACCTCATAGGGACTCAGCAGGGAGTGTAGGTGCTGGACCACTGGGTTTCCCCTCCCCCACCTCAAACACTTTTGAAGGAATGAGGAGATGTCACGGCTTCTGGGCCTGCATTTGTGTGTGGCTGGGTGGGTTTCCCATTCCCATTCCCAGGGCACCCTGCACATGCGTGTCACTCCATGACCCCGGGTTCCCTTCCTTGCTTACGGGTATATAACGTGGCCAAAACGCAAGGCGTCGGTGTGAACACTTGGCAGCGACGTGGCTTTCAGCCAAGTTCCCAACCTCTCGGCTTCACTTTGCCCACTGGAGAGTGAGGTCATGAAGGCCACATGACTCTGCTCCCAGAAGATGCTCACAGCAGTGCCCGGCCCCTGGCGTGTGCCCCTGGACCTCTGCGCCTTGGCTCTCTGCTTTTAAGCTGCTGTTGGGAGCCTGGGCTCCCAGACCAAACAAATCAGGATTAGGTAGCCCTGCTGTTTGGTGGAATGACCCTTGGCCAGTAGCCTCAAGTCTACCCGTTTCAATGTCTTCATCCGCAAAATAGACATAGTAACAATTGCCAGTAAGTGGTAGAGTTTTTTAGCTTTTTTTTTTTTTTTTTTAAGGATTTATTTATATATTTGAAAAAGTTACAGAGACAGGTCTTCCATCTGCTGATCACTCCCCAAGTGGTTCCAATAGCCAGAGCTGAGCCAGGCCAAAGCCTGGAGCTTCATCCCGGTCTCCCACGAGGGTTTTGGGCAGGGGCCCAGACACTTGTCCCATCTTCCCCTGCTTTTTCCAGGCCATTAGCAGGGAGCTGGGTCGAAAGTGGAGCAGCCAGAACATGAACCAGTGCCCATATGGGATGGCGGCTTCACCCGCTACGCCATAGCGCCGGCCCCAGTGGTCGTGTTTTGATTTGAGGGTTGGAAGAGGTGCCGTGTATCGTGTCAGGGCCCAGAGCAGGCTGTCCGTGCTGAGAGCTGGCGTCACTGCTGACGGTCGCATGACTTCCTCTAGGATGGGCTGGTCTACGCAGTTGAGTTCTCCCACCGCTCTGGCCGTGACCTCATTAACTTGGCCAAGAAGAGGACCAACATTATCCCCGTGATAGAAGACGCCCGGCACCCGCACAAATACCGCATGCTCATCGGTGAGCCGTCTGGACGCCGGCCCAGCTGGGTGGGACAGGCCTCCAGGTTTCTGGGTTGGGCCGGCAGAGCCTGGCTCCGGATGGAATTCGAGTCGATGCGCAGGCCTCATGAGTCTACAGGAGTGAGAGGGGCAGCGGGAGGCAGGCGAGGCTGCGGAGGCGGCGACCTGGCCACGGGGCCCCCTCCTCTGCTCTAATCTCCCCTTCCTCAGGGCCCCTGTAGCCTCCCCAAACCATGGCCCTTTCCCCACTGCCCTGGCTTGGCCAGGAAAGCCTCCTTCAGGGTCCTTGTCGGCACCTGGTGAGATCCTCGCCCAGCCAGCACACACTGGGCAGAGCCTGGCCTGGGGGGCCTCTTGTGAATGGGACAGCTGTTGTTTTAAAAAAATTCTAAAGTAAGTGTAACACGGGCTCACAGGGGCGGCGCCCTCTAAAACCACCCTGGAGGTAACTGATCGGAACGAGCAGCCCCTGCCCTTTCCAGTTCTGAAGCTCAGTTTTCATTAGGTCACATCATCGTCTATTTTGTTTCTTTTTTAAAATCACACCTTACAGACTGCCTTTCCCTCTACTCCAAGCTTTTCCCTGGGCACGCTTCCCACTGCCCTGTGCTGCAGGCGCGCTTGCCCATGAGTGATCACCCTCTCTCGTCTTGATGACACGTCCATCAACCCCTGCCCCCGGGTCTGACTGGTCTCTGTGTCCCCCACGCCCGGGTCTGAGTCGTCTGCGTCCCCCACGTCTGGCCCAGGGCTGGCCACAGGGAGGGGGCAGCCATGGTTCTGAGAGTGAAGGAATGATGCGTGACTGGATTCTGAGCCCATCTCGGGGTGCTGTGGAGGGAGGGGGTCAGTGTGGGGGGAGGGAGACCTTCCAGGGCCTGCTGATGGTGCGCAGGCCCCCCGGGAGGAGCTGAGCTCTTGGGTGGGTCCAGCTTTGACTGGCAGCCCTTTCCCCGTAGCAATGGTGGACGTGATCTTTGCTGATGTGGCGCAGCCAGACCAGACCCGGATTGTGGCTCTCAATGCCCACACCTTCCTGCGGAATGGAGGACACTTTGTGATTTCCATTAAGGTACCAGGCTTGGGGGAGTCGAAGGTGGGCTGGCAGCGTCCCAGGGAGGTGTTTTCTCTGCCAAGCAGCCAGTCAAAACAAGGGGACTGGGGTGGTGTTTAGCCTAGTGGTTAGATGCCCATGTGCACCATATCAGAGAACCTGGGTTTGAGCCCCTGCTGTGATCGCTCAAATGAGTGGACTTCTGCCGCCCAGGTGGAGGATCTGGACTGAGTCCCAGGCTTCAGCCTCGGTTCCTGGCCACTCCCAGCATTTGGGGAGGGAACCAGCAAATAGCACCTCTCTGGTTGCATAGGCGATCTCTCTTTGTCTCTGCCTCTCAAATTAGTTGATTAAAAACCTTTTAAAGGCAGGCGGGCCTTGGCCAGTCTATCCCAGCTCCTCACAAGCCTCCCCTGCCCCCGGTCAGATAGCACAGCATAGAATACCTGTAGAACCCAAAGCGTGGCGTCCAGAGCCAAGGCGGCGTGGTGGCCAAGGGCACGGCCGCTGGGTCTGTTTTCCAGCGTGCTGTGCTGTGCAACTTCAAGCAAGCTGCTTAACCTGTGTGCCTCTGTCTTGTGAAATACACGTTTTGGCCCTATCTCAGGGTTGATGTAAGGATCAACTCAGTCTACATGGAGGGCTTAGAAGAGATACTGCACAGACGCTAGGTGCATTTTTCAGAACCATTTACTTTGCAATTAGAACGCGCGTAGCCGCCACCAGCTTCGCCACTTGCTGGCATTTTGTTGCCTGTGCCCGGGAAACTAGCTTTAGGTGACAGGAGGTTGCTAGGACTTCCTGCCGGGCCTGGGCCTGAGGCTGCTTAATGAACCAGGCTTCCCCTAGCGGCGCTGGCGGTGCTAGGCAAAGGCAAACCACGCGGGCTCTGGCTCCTTCCTCCCCGCAGGCCAACTGCATCGACTCCACCGCCTCGGCCGAGGCCGTGTTCGCCTCAGAGGTGAAGAAAATGCAGCAGGAGAACATGAAGCCCCAGGAGCAGCTCACGCTGGAGCCGTACGAGAGGGACCACGCTGTGGTCGTGGGCGTGTACAGGTGAGCCGGCGCCCGGCGGTCCTGGGGCCCCCGGACCCCCGAGTGGTGGCCAGCTGTAACCCCGCCCTTGTCCCCATCTGCTCACAGGCCGCCGCCCAAGGTGAAGAGCTAAAGTTCAGTGCTGTGTGGATGTCGAGAGATGCGTGTTGTGCCGTGGCTCCTGTGTTTTTCTATTAAAATGACTTCTCCGTGGTCCCTGTCTGCCGCTGATTGCGCCGTGACCGCGGTGGACAGCAGGGTGCATGCGCCCTTGGTCAACTTTGTGTGGCGGGCAGGGGAGGGAGGCGGGAGGGTCAGTCCGCCCCACAGCGCATGCTCTGTTCCGCGCTGCCCCCCCCCCCCCCCCCCCCCCGGGCAGAACGGGGATTCGGCTACTCGGGCGGGATTGGTAGTTCACTGCGCATGCTTGCGGGTGAGCACAGGAAGGGCGCATGCGCGGAGTATTACCCTGGGTCACGTGAGGGGGCGGACTGGGGTAGGGGCGGAGCCTGGGGCGGGTTGGGGGGGCGGTTTGTTGTGGTCGCCATTTTGCTGGTTGCATTACTGGGTAATCAGGGCCCTGGCTGGCCGTGTCTGCCGGATACCCTCAGCCAGTGGGCAGATCTGAGCTCGAGCCGCCCGAGCACTATGAGTCCCCTTGCCCGCGCCCTCAGGTAACAACACGGGGACAGCCGGGGCAGCACGCGCTGCTGGGGGGAAAGACGGGATGGGATCCGCCCTGCCCGCGTAGCTTCGAGACTTAGCACGAGGCCGAGGGAGGAGAAGAGAGGAGGGGAGGGAGGTTCCGGCAGGTGCGGGCTGCGCTTGCCTATTCATAGTCCGATTCCTGGAAAAGGCCGGGCCAGGGGAGCCGTCTTGGGAGGAAGGCTGGGAGGGGGTAATCGGGCCCCACTCCCGCCCTTTGTTTGGGCTCGGCTCCGCCGGCCGCATCGTCGTTGCCTAGCAACAGCTGCCCCAGGCTGGGATTGGTTGAGCTCTTGGTAGCAGTGGCCAATGGCGCGGTTGTTGCCATGGCAGGTGCAGATTGCCAAGCTCGGTGAAACCCCGCCTGCTGGGGCGGGCCTCCTGGGTGGGGGGCGGGACGCTGGGGTCCCTGGAGGCGGATGGCCGCTCAGGGTGGGGCGGGTGGGGCGAGGGTTAACCCGCCCCTCCCCCGTCCACCTGCTCTCCCCTTCCCCCGCGTGCCCTGGGCTGACCCGAGTCCCCTCCTTTCCCCGCCCCCGGCAGCGGCGGCGGTAGCGGCGGCTGCTGTTGTCACCCACCGGGCCGCCTGTCCCGCTTGCCCTCCCCGCCGCGGGGCTCGCCGGGCCGGCCAGGCCGGGGACAGGCGGCCACCTTCTCGCCACTGCCGCCGCCGCCACCGCCATGCTGGCCGCTCGCCCACCCAACTGGGGGCCCCACCGCGCCCCAGCCCCTCGTGGGTCCCGCACCAGCCCTGACCCCGGTAGGGGATGGGGGCTGGGAGAGCCGATGCTAGTGTGGGAGGGGGGGTTAGCGCCAAGAGAGTAGGGGTCCTGGAGTGGCAGGCGTGGGAAGGAGAAAGGGATCTGACATTGGGGAAGACCCGTGAGGAGAAGATTCTGTGGTGCTGGCTGCTCCGGGAGTAGAAAACATTATGTGGGCTTGTCTGTTGGGGCCTTCTAGGAATGGTCACATCTGGGGAACGACTCTCGTATGGAGAGGGGTAACTGGAGAAAGGGCCCTTGTAGGAATATTGGGTAGTGCAGGGTGGGGGAGGGCAGGGGTCCAGTGGGGGGAGAAAGGGAGATCACCGTGAGCGTGGGAAGACACCTCCCCGTTGCTCCCATCGGGAGGAACGTGTTGATTGGGAGGGGGTCTCGGGGTGACCCAGGGAAGAGCCCAGTGTGACCGCAGGAAAGTGGACTATGGTGAGGGAGGCTCCCAGGAGAAGGCCCTGCTAGGGGGAGAGGACTTGGTGTGACCGGAGGGTGTCTTGGGGGAGAGATGTGTGCTGGTGTGGGAGCGTGCCCCAGAGGCGGCTCTCGGGTCACCCCGGTGTGGCTAGGAGATCCCCGAGGACCCCGACACGGTTCCAGGGCCTGCAGAGGGCTCGGCTGTGGTGAAGGGGGAGGGGCGGCCAGATCCGGAGTCCTCTGGCTTAGAGGAGCCTGTGGGACGGGGTGAGCCCCTGGTGCTCAGGGAAGACTGCAGGAGGGGCCCAGGCGGCCACAGGTAGAAGTGGGAAGGAGAGAATGAGCCCTGTGCCGCCTGTGGTCGGTGCTTTCTGTCATTATCCTCTTCTCTCCCCCGATTGTCGGTGTCTGTCCTGTCCTGGGCATGCCCGTGTCCCCCACCCCCACCACGCCTGGCTCCCAATGCTCCCTTTTATGTGTCCTGCCGCTGCCTCCTCCACGTACTTGGTCATCGTTTGTTGGGCTCTGCCTGCCCCCTCTCTGTCCCCCTTGTCGCTGCTGTCACTGTGCCCCCCCCCATTGCTTACGCCCACCCCTTCCCTGCCTGGCACCGCCCCACATGTCCCCTCGTTCCGTGTTGTCTCCCCGTCTCCTGCTACTCCCAGGTCTCAGCGGCGGTGGCAGCCGAGGTGCAGGATGCGAGAAGGCGCCCCCCGGCCGGGCTCCCGCTCCAGGCCTCGCACCCCTGCGGCCCTCTGAGCCCACCATGGCTGTCCCACCAGGCCATGGTCCCTTCTCTGGCTTCCCAGGGCCCCAGGAGCACACGCAGGTATGTGTTCACCTGAGGGGGGCCCACTTCCCTGGGGGTCAGGGAGACTTGGGATGGAAGAGTCTCAGGACTGCAATCAGTGTGGTTGTCTGGAACCATCTCCCTGGGCAGGATGGGGCCCCTGGGAGTGGAGGTCCCCTGACCTGGGAGAATCTGGGTTCAAATACTGATGTCAGTTTTCAAATCTATAAAATGGGGCCAGTAACGCTGCCCACCCCACAGGGCTGCCCTGAGGGTGAAACGAGGTAGAGAAATGCTGAGGACGGCGCCTGGCCCGGCGTCAATGCCCAGGAGTGGTCACTGGGACAAAGGAGGCTGGGCTGGGGCGTCTGGGGAGGTGGACCGGCAGAGGAGTTGAGCGCCTAGGGCCTGGGTGGCACAGGGTGAAGCTACCGAGGACAGAGCAGTGAAGGCTCTGAAGTGTAGGACTCGGAGCAGGGTGCACTGGGAGGCCAGGCGCCTCCCCCAGACCCAGAGCCTAGTGAGGAAGAGCGGGCGAAGGCGCTCAGGCCTGGAGGGTGAAGGCTGGGAGGCCTGAGGGGCACAGGAAATTGAGCTGAGGTCCTTCCGAGGAGGGGTCCCAGAGTGGAGCGGGTCAGGCTGGAGGGCTGCAAGGGCAGGGCCAGGTTTTCCTGCGCAGTTCAGGAAGGAGGAAGCGGGGGTGAAAACGCCAGCTGAGGCTCCGGGAAAACTCAGGAAAATGCAAACGAAAATAAACAAACAAACGCCATGCATACAAAGAGATCTTCAAAAAGTTGTAATCAAAAATCCATGACAAAGGCATATGAATTTTCAAAAGGCATTTCGCACCAAAAGAATCTCTTAATTCCATTTTCCCAAGAACTTCGTTGAAATCCCCTTATGAATGGCACACGCGCTCATCAGCCTGACAAACACCGCGCCGTGCCAGGCCCTGCTCTAGGCAGGCTGCTCCGTCCATGGGGAGGCCGTTCCAGCAGGGATCCCTGGCCGGGCAGGCGGGGAGCCGGCAGCGCCCTTGCTGAGGCTGGAGGTGAAGACCCGCCTCCATGCCCACCGCCTCCTTGCCCTGCAGGTGCTGCCTGATGTGCGGCTGCTGCCCCGGAGGCCGCCCCTGGCCTTCCGGGACGCCACCTCAGCCCCGCTGCGCAAGCTCTCTGTGGACCTCATCAAGACCTATAAGCACATCAATGAGGTGGGCCCAGGCTTGGGGGGGAGGTGTGCCCTGGGCCGGGCGCGAGGGGCCTGGCTGCCACCACAGGTCACTCACCACGCTGTTTCCCTTGGCGGCCGGGCAGGTGTACTATGCCAAGAAGAAGCGGCGGGCCCAGCAGGCGCCGCCCCAGGACTCCAGCACCAAGAAGGAGAAGAAGGTCCTGAACCACGGTTACGATGACGACAACCATGACTACATCGTGCGCAGCGGCGAGCGCTGGCTGGAGCGCTACGAGATCGACTCGCTCATCGGCAAAGGCTCCTTCGGCCAGGTGTGGACACGGCCCCGTGGCCCCCACTCCTGTTGACCCGTCTCCCGGTGGCTCAGTGGCTTCAAGGTCCGCTCGCAGTCACTTTCCTTGCGTCTTGTTTCCTTCTGTAAAACAGTGCTAATAGCAAGACGCGTGGTTCTGTGCCCTGGTCGCCCCAGTGTCTCCCGTGATGAGCACCCAGCTGTGTTGGCAGTGCTGGGAGCTGCCCTTCCCTGTCCCCCTCCCCCGCCCCCCTTGGTGACGCGGCCTGCCCTGCCCCACAGGTGGTGAAAGCCTATGACCATCAGACCCAGGAGCTGGTGGCCATCAAGATCATCAAGAACAAAAAGGCCTTCCTGAACCAGGCCCAGGTCGAGCTGCGGCTGCTGGAGCTGATGAACCAGCACGACACGGAGATGAAGTACTACATAGGTGAGGCCGGGAGGGTCGCCCGCGGAGGGGCGGGTGTGTGTGTGTGTGTGTGTGTGTGTGTGCGCGTGCGCGCCTGCGCTCTGTGCCGCTCGGGCCAAGCTCGCTGGGGGCCGACTGCCCGAGGGAAGGGGCGGCACTGCCCACGTCCACATCTCGGGATAAACCGTGGCCCCGAGGCGCCGTCACCTGTAGGAGGTGATCCCTTGTACTCTGCAGAGCTGTAACGTCGGGGCAGAGGCCTCCAGAGTCGTTATTCTTAGCAACTGTGCTTGTTCCTCTTTCTTGAACTAATTCCTCCTAGGAAAGGCAAACGGATTTCTTTTACAAGGAAAACTTAGGGATCCTTTGTCCCTGAAACAGAACTAAGCTGCAGACTGGTCCACAGTTAGATGAGGAAGTGTGGGACCGGGTGGAAGACTTACTGTAGCTCATGGGAACTTTCACTTTGGTTTCATCGGAAGGTTTGACAGAGACTAGAAAAGAGATTGACTTCCTGTGTGAACTGAGTTATAAAAATATCACGGCCAGCAGCTGGTCCCCGCGGGCCGCGCTCCCGGGTGACCTGGGCAGCAGCAGCCAGCCCTGAGCCCGCCGCCTCTCCGTCTCCTGCAGTGCACCTGAAGCGGCACTTCATGTTCCGGAACCACCTGTGCCTGGTGTTCGAGCTGCTGTCCTACAACCTGTACGACCTCCTGCGCAACACACACTTCCGCGGCGTCTCGCTGAACCTGACCCGGAAGCTGGCGCAGCAGCTCTGCACGGCGCTGCTCTTCCTGGCCACGCCCGAGCTCAGCATCATCCACTGCGACCTCAAGCCCGAGAACATCCTGCTCTGCAACCCCAAGCGCAGCGCCATCAAGATCGTGGACTTCGGCAGCTCCTGCCAGCTGGGCCAGCGGGTGAGGGGCGGGGCTGGCGGTGGGTGTGGCCAGAGCAGGGGCGGGGCTGGCGGGTGGGTGTGGCCAGAGCGGGCTGGGGCTGGTGGGTGACCGGGCACAGGAGAGCCCTACAGGGTGCGCTGCCCACTAGGAGGGAGGGGAAGCCTGAGCGGGCAGGGTGTGGGCGGGGCGAAGCTGGGCTGCTTTTGGGCCTGGAAGGGCGGAGGGGAGGGGCTTCAGCTGTGCAGCCCCGTGTGAGAGGTGTTTGGCGAGGTCAGGGCCAGGCCCGCAGAGACCCTGACGCTGCCCAGTGTGGTGGTGGCAGTGGCTCCCCGGAAACTGGTGCTGAGAACGTTGGGATCTGGATCCTCCATTTCCAGATTGGGGTCAGAAGCTTGTCCTCAGCTGGGTCCTCTAGCCAAGGCTGGGCCCCTGACTGTCGCCCTCCCTGCAGATCTACCAGTATATCCAGAGCCGCTTCTATCGCTCGCCTGAGGTGCTCCTGGGCACGCCCTACGACCTGGCCATTGACATGTGGTCCCTGGGCTGCATCCTCGTGGAGATGCACACTGGGGAGCCCCTCTTCAGCGGCTCCAATGAGGTGCGCCCCCAGGAAGGGGTGCGCTGGAGGGGGCGGGGTGGAGCCTGGCCAGCCTGCTAACCTGACCCTGCCCGCTCACAGGTGGACCAGATGAACCGCATTGTGGAGGTGCTAGGCATCCCGCCAGCCCCCATGCTGGACCAGGCCCCCAAGGCCCGCAAGTACTTTGAGCGGCTGCCTGGGGGTGGCTGGACCCTACGAAGGACAAAGGAACTCAGGAAGGTGCGGCTCCTGCCCCGCGCCACTCCCCCTGCCCTGGGTGGCCCCTCACTCTCTCACACTCGGGGCGCCCCCTCCCCCTGCCGCCTCCCCTGTGTCTTTCCCGTCCTACCTCTTCCCCTCGTCTGCCCACCCCATCTCTCCTGCCCTCCCGCTGGCTTTTCTTGGCCTCTCTCTCCACCTTCTCTCTGTTTCCCCGTGTGTGTCTCCCTGCCCCTCCTGCCCACTGACGGCCACTCTCTTGCCCCCCCTCCCACCCCCTCCCTGCCAGGATTACCAGGGCCCCGGGACACGGCGGCTGCAGGAGGTGCTGGGCGTGCAGACGGGCGGGCCCGGGGGCCGGCGGGCGGGGGAGCCGGGCCACAGCCCCGCCGACTACCTCCGCTTCCAGGACCTGGTGCTGCGCATGCTGGAGTACGAGCCCGCCGCCCGCATCAGCCCGCTGGGCGCTCTGCAGCACGGCTTCTTCCGCCGCACGGCCGACGAGGCCACCAGCACGGGCCCGGCAGGCAGCAGTGCCTCCACCTCGCCCGCACCCCTCGACACCTGCCCCTCCTCTAGCACCACCAGCTCCATCTCCAGCTCGGGTGGGTGCCCAGTGCCCAGAGCGGGGGACCACAGGGGTGGGGGCGCCTCTGACCTTGGCCTCTGGGCTGTCACACAGCAGCTCTGAAGCGGCCTGATCCTGAACTCCCAAACGGGCTGGGGTGGAGGAGCTGCAGGTGACCGTGACCGTGACCGTGACGCCATCTCCAAAACATGGCTTGTGGCCGGACGCCTAAAACTGGCTCTGGCTTTAACACCCCCAAATCTCAAAAACTGGGCCCGAGCCTTCCAGTGGGCTGTGATCACCCGAGCCATAACCTAGGCCTGGGGCCATCAGCCAGGCTCAGCCAGCCCCAGACCCTGCCACCGGCTCCCTCAACCGTGGCTTTTCTCTCCTCTCGTGCTTCCAGGAGGCTCCAGTGGCTCCTCCAGCGACAACCGGGCCTACCGCTACAGCAACCGCTACTGTGGGGGTCCCGGGCCGCCCATCACTGACTGTGAGATGAACAGCCCCCAGGTACTGGAGGCTGGGGGCTGTGGAGGCGGGCGGTGGGGTGCCTGGGGCTGCAGGACCCCAGGCTCCATCACCCACTGCTCCTTTGCTCCTTTAGGTCCCACCCTCCCAGCCGCTGCGCCCCTGGGCAGGGGGTGATGTGCCCCATAAGACACATCCAGCCCCTACCTCTGCCTCGTCACTGCCGGGGCCCGGGGCCCAGATGCCCCCCCAGCCCCGCTGCCTTGGCCGGCCCCCGTCACCAACCTCACCGCCACCCCCGGAGCTGATGGACGTGAGCCTGGCGGGCGGCCCTCCGGACTGCTCCCCGCCTCACCCCGCGCCTGCCCCCCAGCACCCGGCTGCCTCAGCCCTGCGGACTCGGATGACGGGAGGTCGCCCGCCTCTCCCACCCCCTGATGATCCTGCCACTCTGGGGCCTCGTCTGGGCCTCCGGGGTGTGCCGCAGAGCACGGCGGCCAGCTCATGACCCTGCCCCCTCCCTGGGGCCCCTCCTGAAGCCATACCCTCCCCCCACGTGGGGGCCCTGGGCTCCCATCCTCATCTCTCCCCTTGACTGGAATTGCTGCTACCCAGCGGGGGCGGGTGAGGCCTGCACTGACGGGCCTGGGGCAGGGGGTCGAGGAGAGGGGTTTGCTCAGACCCTCCCACTAAGGACTGGACCCTTGGCTCCCCCTCCCCCCTTGTTTTCTATTTATTGTACCAAAGACAGTGGTGGTCCGGTGGGGGGAGGCTCCCCTCCTCCCAGGGCCCTAGGAGGGGGCGGGGGCAGGTAGGGGGAGATGGCCTTGCTCCTCCTTGCTGTACCCCCCAGTAAAGAGCTTTCTCACACGCCTGCCTGAGCGTCTGCAGGGCCTCCGCTCCCCTTACCCGGCCCGCCGAGGCATGGTGGGAGGAGCATTTCGGGAGGGGGTGCCGAGAGATTTTGGTGGTGCGGCTCCAGGTGCGACCCCGGCCGGCATTAACCTTCCTAGCGTAAACTGGCACCCAGACAGACTGCGGCCCGTGTTCGGGAAACACCGTGTTCCTTCGGCCCTAGTAAGCCAGGCAGGCATCAGTGTCGTGGGGGCAGGCAGGCAGTGGGTAGACTTGACCCCCGCACACACCTGGACCCACCTTTTGGAATCATTGCGGAGCCAAGCGCTTTGACATTCTCAGGCAGAAACTCCTTGGGTTCCAGGTAAGTAGTGCCGCTTCCATGGCAATTTGGCGGGCCAATCAAGAGCTGTCTGGTTCAAAGGTTATCCTGTGTCTGCGCTGTTGCGCGGCGCTCCCTGGGAAATGGCATTGTACTTAGCGATCTCTTTTCCCACTGTTCGTAAGGGAACTACAAAGACCAGAATCCTCTTCGCTCACGCTTGGGAGCGAGTGTCGGGGCAGCCAATAGGCACTCAGAGGTATCCAGGGCCCGGATCTATGGGGCGGTCAGTAGCCACAGAGAAGGCGTTGATTGGGCGCTTTGGGTCGTGCGGTGCAAAGGTCTCCTGAGGCGTGCGGAAGGAGGGTTTCTGGGCTGTGCCGCGAGGACTTGCGGGTTAGGGTCTCGGGGTGCCGGAGCAGGCGGTAAGGATGGGGCCTGCAACTACCCCTCGTACGGACATCACCGGCCGGCTCACGGGAAGCCCCAGTCCGTGGGAAAGGCGGGCAAGGACCCGGTAGGGGTGTGTGTGCGCTTAGTGATGGAGGCAGCGCGGGGCGCGCCGGGCACCCAAAGGAGGTGGGTGCGGTTGGGGAGGCCTGGCTGGACGAGGGGCGGCGGCGAGAAGCAGCCGGGTCTGCCTGTGCGCGGAGGGGCTCTGGTGGTGCTGGACACGGTATTGGCCGTTCTGCATGGATTAAATGCTGGAAAATTTTCTTGGCCACTTAAAGAGCTTGGTCTTTGTCCTGAGGGCGGTGAGAAGCCGCGGGAGAATTCCGGGTAGGGCAGGGATACGGCTCAGCTTGCTGTGATGTGGAAATAAACGGACAGGAGTTGGATCTGGGAGTCCAGGGTTGGCGGCTGTGGCTGGGAGGAGGATTGGGGCAGGTGCGCGGGAGGCGGTGCGGGGAGGAGTTGACGTGCTGCCGGGGAGAGGGGGATGTCTCCGCCACGGGCAATGGGGCCTGCGCATTGCAGATGAGCGGTTCAAAAAGGTTTTGCGTGATCAATCCTAGGAGGCACGCGCTGTTCCATCTCCCTTCCGCGGATGGTGATACCGAGGGCGAGCAACATTAAGTGACTTGCCCAGGACCTCGTGGCTAGGAAGAGGCCGGCTCAGGGGCGGGTGGGCGCGGGTGGGCGCGCGCGCGCCATTCTCTGACTTAGCAGGGTGCAGGTGAGCCTGGAGACCTCAGCAGGGGCCAGATCAGGTACAGGCGGCAAGGAATTTGGGAGAGGCACGGAGATGTGGGTCCCATTTCTGCTTCCAGCCTAGGGCCTCTCCCTTGCGATACCCTCTATTGGCTCTTGGTATCTCCAGAGTGATCTCGGTCCAGTTGAAGAATCTGTACCCTCCGTGTCCGATGTGGTAAACGGCAGCTCCTTCCTGGTTGCTCCGGGCTCAGACATGGGAGCTGTCTGACGCCCACGTCAGGTCCACTAGCGGGCGTCTTCACCATGTGTTCAGAACCTGACCACCTCTCTCGGTCCCTACACTCCAAATGCCAGGGTCCTGCTCACCCTCATCTGCACAGGCCATTGTAGCAGCCTCCTCAGCGGTCTCCCGGTTCCCACCCCCACCCCCTGCAGTCAGAGGGACACAGGCCTCGTCCTGCCCCTGTTCAGGACCCTGCATGCCTGCATCTCACTCGGGGTGGGAGCCGGAGTCCTGTGCAGGGCCCCTGCCCCTCACCACCTCTCTGACGTGGGCTGCTCTCCTTGCTCTGCTGCAGCCACACCGGCCGCAGGGCCTCTGCACTTTCTGTTCTCCTTGCCTGAAACCCCCATCTCAGCATCTCCCAGAGAGCCCAGACTCATTCTTCACTCCCTTAGGTCTTACTCAGATGCCACCTCCTCCTTGGCCCTCCCTGACCAAGCCTGTAGACCTGAACCCTCACCATACGCATCCATTCTCCTTCCTTCCACTTGCTGCTTACTGTTATCCTATCAGCATGTAGCGACTGAGGACTGATTTCTTCTGTTTATTGTCCGTCTCCTGTGCCTCCCACTGCCGGCTCCGTGAGGGCGGGTGCCGTTGTCTACTTCATGCTCTGTCCCCAGCACCTGGAAGGGTGCCCGGCACACAGCAGGGGCTCAGTCGTCATTCACCAGATAACGAGCAAAGATCTGGATCCCAGCATCCCCCGGGGCCCCGCCACGCCCAGTCCCCTCTCTACAAAGAGGCTGCCTCAGAGTTTGCCGCGGACTCAAGACGTCTGGCCTCTGCTTCGTGCTCAGCACAGCTGAGAACAGATTGGTTTTCCTGCCTCAAAGGAGGTCCCAGGTGGGGGTTCAGAGTGTCCGATGCCCGCACAGCGCGCAGTTGCAAAGACGGATGGAAGGTGCTGTGAGAGCGCATTCCCATAGGATAGCTAAGCCGGGCCCCGAGGCGGTGGACAAGTTGGTCCTGACGCTAATAAGCCACCGTGGGGAGCGACAGCAGAGCAGGAGGCCGGGCCGGGCGGCTTCTGTAAGGGCTCTGGGCCTCACCCGGCACTGGGAGCTGAGGAAGGACTTTCAAGCCATGGGAGGGAGCACGCACAGTCAGTGGAGTATTTAAGGCGTCCGGGGAACTGGCTCTAGGTGGAATCCGCTGTTTCCACGAGGTTACAATGCCTGCAGTGAAGTCAGCCCCACTTTCTCTTTTTCCAGTCAAGAAGTGGCGTTGCCTGCCTTCCCCCGGAAGCCAGGCCCAGCCCTGTGCTTTGTCTTGACCAACCGCTTGCGCTGCAGGAGCCTCGGGAGGCCTGGAAACTGCTCTCCGCATCGGAGCCCTGCCCCTGCCCAGCTGCGCCAGCTGCGCCAGCTGAGGTGCCAGGCGTGCTGACGCCGCGTGGGGAGAGAGACCTTCCTGGGCCCCGCAACCTCAGCCTGCCCGAATGGCACATTCCTGAGCAGAGAAACGGTGGTTCTTTGATGCCCCTGGCTTTTAGGGTGATTTGTTACCCCCCTTCAGCTAACTGAAACAAGGCGGGGGGGGGGGCATGGGGCTGGAGGCAGGGCCCCAGCAGGGAGTCAGTGCTGGGAGGATGGCTGGCCAGGGTGGTGGTGGGGGAGGTGGGGACGGGTGGCCTGATCTTGGACATGATTCGAAGGCAGAGGTGCCGGGGTTTGGGGGTGTGGACGTGGGTGAGGAAAAGCAGTGCAGGGCTGCCCTGTGTTTCCAGCGGGCGCGCAGGGCGGGAGCGCCAGCAACCACGTGGGGACGGCGGGACGGAGGCCTCACCGGCACTCCCTGGACCAGCAGGGAGCTGGGCTGGACATGCGGATTTGGGAGATTGGCACATCCGCAGTACGGCAGTTCAGGGTGAGCTCGCTAAGGGGGAGAGAGCAGGGAGAGCCGGCATGAGATGGTGGCACCAGGGCCGCCTGGGCAGCGGTGGGGGAGTCACCGTGGCAGTCTGGGCCCGTTGTGAAGGCGGTGCCCCCTTGGCTTGGTCGTGGATTAGGACCGAGAAGCGTGGCCTGGGGCCTGTGAGAACAGAGTGGAGTCGGAACAGGGGACAGCGGCTCCGGTTCCTCCTTCCCAGAGCCCTGCGTGCTCTGCTTCCATCGCGGGCAGGTGGGCTGGCCCGGGGCGGGGGGTGGGGGTTTGGGGGGCTCCCGCGCCAGCTCCGCGTGACCGTCCCTCCCTCCCAGTTCCCCAGCGAGTCTTCACACGGGGATTTAATTACCTGCTGTGGTCAACGGGCTCCTGCAGCCATGGCTGGGGCGGGGGGGAGAGGGGGATGCAGCAGGGCAGGCACCCCACATTGCCAGCCCCATGTTCCTCACAGCTGGGGTGCTGGGGACATGCGTGGGTGTGGCAGGTGGCAGGCTGGGGAGTGATCTGGCATGATGGGTGGGTGTGTGGGTGGGTGGGACATTTAGGCTGCCTCAGGTGTGTCCTGGACTGGGGAGTGGGGTAGGGGATACCAGCAGGGGGTTCCGGCAGACTGGGCCGAGAGAGATTAAGGGCCAGGTTGAGAGACCTCAGACCCGGGATCTGGCTGCACACAGGTGTTCCGGGGCAGTCAGGGAAGCAGCCTTACCCCTAAGCGGAGAGGGACCCAGTGATGGCAGAGACACGGTGCCCTGGTCCGGGGGGGAGGCAAGCCTGTCTGGTCGGGGGGCCGGGCTGGGCCTGGCCAGGGCTGTGGGCTCGGAGATGAGACCTGGAGGGTGCTCGGGAACCGGCTGGCATCAGCCGCCTTTTCACTGGGTGATACACGCTGAACGGTGCTTTACTGAGCAGTGCGTGAGCTACAGGAACTCTCGGGCCTGCACCCAGCTTCCGCTCACCCTGGCATCTCACCCACTTGCAGTGTTTGCCAAAACCAAGAGATGAACGCTGATACTTTTACCAAACTCTAGACTGCCCACATCTCACCCGATTTCCCGCTAATGTTCCTTTTCTGTTCCAGGATCCAATCCAGGATATCATTTACTGCTCCCGTCTCCCCGGCCTCCTCCAATCGGTGATCCTTTCTTGGGCTTTCCTTGTTTTTCGTGACCCCTATGGTTTGGACGGGTCCCGGTGAGGTTTCAGTGGGGATCTGTCCGGTATTTTCCTCATCATACCGGGGCTTGGGGGGAACCCTCGCCGAGGTGCCGTTCACCTGGGTCACTTAGTAAAGGTAGGCGCGGCAGGCTTCTCGGTGGTGGTGGCGCGTGGTGCCCCCACGTGCTGCACTTCCTGGCGGGAGGAATGTCGAGCAGTTGGTCTTGTGAGGCAGTGCGGGCGTCCCGTGGTTGGCCGTGACTTCAGCGTCCACCAGTCGGCCTGGGCTGGCAATGACCGCCGTGGTGGGGTCCTGGTGGCTTTCTTTCCCCGCCTTCCTGCACGGGAAATGTGTCCTGTCCGACTTGCACAGCTGTCGGTTTCTATGAGCGTGGACTGGAGGGTGCTGCCTCTACTCTGGGTGCGACCAGTGTCGTCGCTCAGACTGTCCAGCCTTGGGCCATCGCAGCCCCTTTCAGGGCCGCTCCCATGTGCCCCTCTTCCTGAGCGCCTCACCGTCTGGCTCTGCCGCGCCCTCCCTGCCCCTGCTCCAGGGGGCCCGGTGCCTCTTCCTAAAGGATGTGTTAGGGACCGGGGTCTAGGCGTGGGCTGTGCGCACTGCTGTTGGGGGTCCCTAATTCTCATTCGCAGCCGACACAGCTGGGAAATGCATGTATGTGTGCAAACCCGTGTCTGTACACATGTGTGTATCTCTGTGTAAAAATAAACACGAGTTCATGCCGGTATTTCCACCCCTAGTCCA